TGAAGGGCAGAGGTGGCCAAAGGGTGCAGCTCTAGGGCTGCTCAGAGCCCACAGAGGGCGCCTTAACCACAGATTTTTTTTTTTTGAATTGTATTTTGAAATAATTTCAGACTTACAGAAGAGTTGCAAAAAATAGTGCAGAGATTTACCCAGGTTGTCCCAACGCCCAAGGTTAACATCACGTAGTACAGTTATTAAAACCAGAAAATTAACCTTGTATAATATACTATTAAAAATCTACAGACCTTGTTTGTTTTTCATTTGTTTTTAGAGACAGGGTCTTGCTTTGTTGCCCAGGCTGGAGTGCAGTAGTGTGATCATAGCTCACCGCAGCCCCAACTCCTGGCCTCAAGCGATCCTCCCACATCCTTTCAAAGTGCCGGGATTCCAGGTGTGAGCCATCGAGCTCGACCTTGCAGACCTTGTTTGAACGTTGCTGGTTTCCTCACTGATTTAACTTTTTCTGATCTAGGATCTGATCCCACACCCCACATTGCAACTGTTTGCCATTTCTCCTTGGTGTCCTCTAGGCTGTGACAGTTCCTCAGTCTTTCCTCACCTTTCCTGACCTTGACACTTTCGAAGAACACTGGCCAGTTATTTTGTAGGATGTGACTCAGTCTGGGTGTGCCTGATGTTTTCTCATAATTGGATTGAAGATGTGCGTTTTGGTAAGAATGCCGCAGAGTGACATTGCGCCCTTCTCGGTGTGTCACGGCAGGGGGTCATGCTGTTACTATGTGTAATTACTGGTCATGGTGATCACCTGGCTAATGTGTCTGCCAGGTGTTTCCCGTGCAGAGTTAAAGTTTTTTTCCTTTTGACATGAATAAGTATCTTATGGGGAGATACTTTGGGACTGTGCAAACATCTGTCAGTGATTCTTGCCTGTAAAAACTTGGTATTGTGGTGTTTGCCTAGTTCCATCAATCCTTCTGCATTTCTAACTGGAATCCTACCATAACAAAGAACTGTCCCTCCTCACCCATTTATTAATTTATTCGACAATTTATATTAGCATGGACTTTGGGATATTTATTTTAATTTGCGGTTATTATCATCCATTACTGTCATCGTTGTCTTGCTCAAATTGCCTCAGATTTTGGCCATTAGAGGCTTCTTCAGAGGGGCTCGTGTATCCTTTCAGTGCGCCCCATCCTTGTTCGGATGCTCCTTACTTTCTGGTGCCACGGTCTGCTCCAGGATTGTTCTGTCCTGTTCCAGACCCCGCCCTAGGATCAGCCACTTCTCCAGGAAGCCCTGGTCCTTTTGTGGGGGAGTGCCATCGAGACGTCGCGATGAGGGCACCGGGTGTGCTTGTTGCTGCTGGGAAGTCACTGATTGTAGATCTGCTCGGAGAAAGAGTTCGGAAATACACGTATGCACACCAACTCACGCGCACATGCGATCTGTATTTGTTTCTGTATCCATCTGTACATACGTTAAGAGCTTGGATACCTCTAATTTCGACCTAGCACCACAGGGTTCTTTCTCGCCCTTTTTTCCCTTATTCTTAACACCCTTCTCCAGCAGTGAGAAACCTGCTCTCCTTGGCCACAGTATACGCATTTGACTAATCCTACTGTCCACAGAAAGTAGTTTCAGAATCGCTAACCCACATTTCTGTGCAAAAGGAATTTGTCTTTAGCCCTAGCATCATGCAGCCAAAATGCTATTTTCCACAGCTCCTTCGGTTTGTGTTTCTCTTTCCCACCCTCTCAGTGTGATGGTTATTCTTTTGTAATAGGTTCATTTGTCGCTCTTTGTGTTGCCTTTGAGTTCCCCACATCTTGGTTGGTCTTACCCATGACTTTTCATTGCTTATTTTACAACTTGGTAAGAAGCCAGAACGTTAGCTATAGGACCAGTCTTGTAAAACATCTGTCTTAAAGTAAACTCCCTGTTGTCCTGCTTTTCAAAAGTAGATCTTTTTTCTCACCATGTATGTTGCACGCTGATGATGACTTGCTCTTACTTCAGGGTGACGACGTGCAGAAGGCAGGGAGGTCCATGCTTAGCTGGGAGGGCCTGTGGTGGATGCAGAGGTCATAACTGCCAGAGAAAGAAAATTGGGGCCCACAATCCTTTTCTAGCTCCCAGAGGGTGCATGAGGATGTGTCCCAGAGCGTCCTCTCTTTCTGCCCGGCTTCTTTCATTCAGCAGAATTATTTTGAGACGCATCCACATTGCCACATGTGTGCGTGGTTCGTTGCTTTTGTCATCAGGTACTCTCCCCCTGTACGGATGTTCTGCGGTGCATCTGTTCGCTTGATGGTGGACGTTTGAGCAGTGGCCAGTGTGGGGCTATTGCAGATACTCACACAAGTCCTGCTGTGGACCTGTGCTTTCGTTTCTCTCGGGTAAATACCTGGGAGTCCAACTTGTGGACGATATTGCAGGTATTAAGAAACTGCCAAATTGCTTTTCACAGTGGCTGACCGTCTTACATTCCCGTCAGCAATGAGAGTTCCAGGTGTCCTCTGCGTCACTTGTATGGTCATTCTGATGGGTGTTCAGTGGCATCTCATTGTGCTTCAAATTTGCATTTCCCTAGTGACTTATGATACTTTTATACGCTTATTTGCAATCCATGTATCTTTGACAAAGTATTCATTCACATCTTTTGCCCGTTTTTTAATTGAGTTTTCTTTTTATCGAGTTTTAAGAGTTCTTTATATATTCTGGATACATGGCCATCCAGATACTCGATTTTAAAATATTTTGCCCCATCTCTACATTCTCCTTTGAGAAGCAGAAATTTAAAATTTTGAGCAAATTTGATTTGTCAGTTTTTCTTTTTATGGTTAGTGTTTTGTCTTTGTCCTCCTGCCAGATCTTTGCCTGGCCAATTG